TGATTCTGCCCCTCTGCTCTGCTCTGGTAAGACCCCACCTGCAGTACAGCATCCAGCTCTGGGGCCCTCAGCACAAGAAGGACATGGACCTGCTGGAGCGGGTCCAGAGGAGGGCCACAAAAATGATCCGAGGGCTGAAGCACCTCTCCTATGAGGCCAGGCTGAGAGAGTTGGGGTTGTTCAGCCTAGAGAAAGCTGTGAGGAGACCTTATTGCGACCTTCCAGTACTTAAAGGGGGCCTACAGGAAAGATGGGGAGAATCTTTTTAACAAGGCCTGTTGTGACAGGACAAGGAATAATGGATTTAAACTAAAGAAGAATAGATTTAGACTAAGAAAGAAATTTTTTACAATGAGGGTGGTGAAGCACTGGAACAGGTTGCCCAGAGAGGTGGTAGAGGCCCCATCCCTGGCAACATTCAAGGTCAGGTTGGATGGGGCTCTGAGCAACCTGATCTGGTTAAAGCTGTCCCTGCTCACTGCAGGGGGGTTGGGCTAGGTGACCTCTAAAGGTCCCTTCCAACCCAAAGCGTTCTATGATTCTAGCACAGAAACTAAGTAGTAGTATGAGAGAAAGTAAGTATCTAGCTTCAGAAATCAAATCAGTAGCTCCATTTCTAGAACTCCTCAGTGAGATTGTCTGTGTCACTCTGCAAATATGCAATAACTGCTCTTTTTTTCTTAAGGTTTCAGTAATCCCTAACTCAAGTTCTACTTTCTCTCCTTTGTTAATACCAGTAGAAGAGCATCACAGAGAAGCCAGCGGGATGTGGAGTTTGGACCTCAGTGCTCCATTAAATCAGTGGTAAAGACTGAAGTTCATATACGAAGCACAGAGTTCAAAATTTGCTTCATAAGTAAGTACAGAAAAATACAGAAGAATTCTGTTTTCTAGGATCACCTTGCCCAGAGAAGTTGTGGATGTCCTATTATTAGAAGTGTTCAAGGTCAGGCTGGACCGGACTTTGAGCAGCCTGATCTAGTGAAAAATCTGCCCATGACAGGAGGCTTTGGACCAGACGATCTTTAAAGGTCCCTTCCAACCCAAACCATTCTGTAATTCTGTGATTGTCCTGCACGATTCCATGAACTCTGTACACTATTAAGCAAATGTTGCTACTTAAAGATGCCTTTAATTCCATCCCTGCCCTGAGTTAACTAATTGAGGAAAATAAAACGCATACTTGAGCTCCTTAGTCTGTAGATCAATAGGATCATGAGTTTCACTGTCCATGTGGAAACGAACTTCTGGTGAGGAAAGCGTCAAGGCTCTGGAAGACAGTAAAGTGGTATTAATGAATTACAGTAAAGCAGAAATAGAAGCTGAGTTGCAGGCCTGTACACAACATCTGGGCTTATCATGAAACTGTAACTTAAAATTAGCAGAAATTAAAAAAAAAAAAAAAGCAGAAATTAAAAATACAATTGTGGAATTAATGTTCAAATTAGCTGAAATTATGATGCTGACACACAACAGTATTAGCTCGTAAAATTTCAAATGCTACTCTTCCGGTTGTGTTTTTGTAACGACTGTAAGAGATCGATATTGATTGATCTTGTGAAGAAAAAGTTTAACATCCCAAGTTTATATTTTTGGGGAAATGAAGACAGGCATTTTTATGGAAATGGAAATGGCAAAATACTTCTCTTTCAAAAGACTGTCACTGGAAAAATGGACACAGAGGACCATTATACAGTTTCACAGCAAAAAATAGCCAGGGAAAAAAACAAGAAAAAAAGGTAACAGGGACACTGCACAGTTTACCCATTATCAATTCTTTTCTTCTTCAGAATTTTTGCTAATTTGTTTAGTCCACGTAGGCTGGTAGTAATATCATCGTTCATAGTTGCTGAATCGATTCTCATCTGTGCTTCGGCATATGTAAGAGAAGCCTTGAAGAGGTTTTTTTTTAAAAAAAAAAAAAAGAAAGAGACATCATGATACATTACTGAATACTGAAAAGAAAAACATAGTCCTGTTTTGCAGAAACTGCAGTTTGCTGTCAAAGTTGGTTCACAATAATAGAAAGCTTTACAACCAGCACCTAAACGCGTATCATTCTCAAAGAATAATGGACAAAACAGGACAGATCTATGCAAGATATTAAGAAATACCAGGCATTTATAGTGCTTTTTTAATGCTGATCACAGATCTATTTTACACATTAGAGGTCTAGTTTTCAGAAATATATTAAACACCTAGGCAGTCCACTGAATTTAACTGAAAACTATGACTAGCTGGTATATACCAACTATGTCCCATATATATCAATACATTTATACTTTTTAAATGAAACACCATAATAAAGTAACTGCACAAAAAACATTTCAGCCTTAGAAATGTAAAAGAACAGGGCAGAATCATTTTCTTTATTTTTCAGAATTTAAGCATCATTTTCTAATTCTAAGAAAATATAAATCAATAAACAGAATGAAGAAAACTTTATTATCAAGTCTGTTGATTGTTGTTTTTATAAAAAGGTCTCCAGCTTTTTCTCAGAAGTATAATAATATTTATGTGACTAACCTTGGAATTAATAATACTCTTCGTAAATCTGGTTTTTAGAATTTCAGCCTTATCGTTCATCTCCCATATACATGAAAATGCAAGCCTATGAGAGGGAGAAGGAGGGAAAAGTCTATTAAAATCAACATATAAACATCTGGAGTTTCTTGTCAGGATCAAAGTATGGATCATATACATATACCTGTCCACATTAGATCTCAGGGAGCATAAATTGGAACTAAGTAACTCTGGAACCATATCAATCCTCTGCAAAGTAAAGAAAAAAAATAATGGCTAGTTATAAGTATGTATTTTAATTTCCTGATTTTTAATACACTAAAAGCTTGGAAATAATAATTACTTTATTTTTTTGCTAAGAAAGCTCAGATTTCTGAAAGAAAAGTAAACTACTTTAGAGGAAATTAATTCCAAGATCCATTTTAATTATCAGGTTTTAGTAACAGATTTCTGAAAAGAAATTGTGGTCTGTGAGAAATAAGTTAAAATAAACAAGACTAAGTGTATAGTTGTAATCAATATAAATCATAGGAAGCAACAGAGATTTAGCTACCACAAGAAAAAACAATGGAAAAGGCAAAACCAGGCCACTTCTGCAATTCCAGATGGGTATTAAAACAGTCATCCAGTTTCAGAACTACATGTTATTAATGCTTCAAACAGGAGTTGAAAGAGGTATTCTCTGGATAATGGATAAAAAAAAAGGAAAAAAAGAAAAAAAGAAAAAGATATTTCTCCCTCTTGCTGTGCAGGCTGAATGACAGAAAGCACCTTCATTTTGATAGTCTTAGGCAAAGTAAGTGCAGCCCCAAGGAGTCTTTTTTTTTTTTTCCTTAGTTTAGAGATAGTGTCTCTACTCCCAGGAATGAAAGAGGAAAGCAATGAAAAATCCAACCACTTAATTGTACCAAAAGCTTTTTTTATAGAAAATAATTACTTTTTCACACAGATATACTGTTGTTCCTCTTTTTGCTGACTCCTCATCCAAAGCATTTCCTGGGCGAATAAAGTGACTGACGTCTGCAATATGTACACCAACCTAAAAAAACAAGCATCATATTATGCATCTTATGAAACAGAAATAGTTCTCAACATGAAAGAAACTTTCTCAAGTTTTTATTTACAATCCAGTTTACCCATTCCTAGTTCCCTTCAGCAGCTCCTATATTTAGTAATAGTAACAGTTAAAATCTATCATACTGATATTAAAAAAAGAATAGTTGCAGCAATTAAGCAAAACAAGGACATGGTACATTTAGTGGAAAGTTATACTGATTACCAATGCAACTCTTCTTGCCTGGGAGCTCAAATAACCTCTTTCATTTTCTTCAAGGCTCACTGCAAATTTGGTTTGCTTTTCTGTATGCTAGACCTTCCATTTTGGCACACTCTGCTATTACAATTACAAATTAATTTATAACGAAGAAAACCTGACTAAATCAGATATAAGGAGGTAGAGAGCTGCTGCTAAGTCTGTAGCTCTTAAATGCTTTTTTTTTTTTTTTTTTAAAATAAAATAATCATTCCTTAGGCATTACAGCAGTAGCTTCACTTTTTCTACTGACAGTACTTTACCCTAGCTGTAGATATTCATGTTTATGCTTAGCTAAAGCAGTAAGTAAATTCTGTGTTAATTTCCCATGCCAAATGAGCTTGAAATCAGGGCGAATTTAGACATCATTAAATTCCCACTTCTGACACTGATGTAATGCAAATCAACTCCCTTTCTTTATTACCATCATGCAGTTATGCAAACACCATTAATTTATTTTACAATAGGTCTGGAGCTTTGCTCGTGTGATTTACTACTACCACTACTGTACTGGTTGTAAAATAAAGGAAGAAGTAAATAAATAAATGACTGGTTTGAGATAAAAAAAAAAAAAAAAAAGAAACAAACAAAAAACCCCCAATACCTCTATATTTCCATTTTCGAGTTTTCTACAATGTAATGCATCATCAATATCTGTACAGCCAGGAGGATCAACACTACAAACATACAGATGCCGTAAGTCCTCCCTGTATTTCATATCCTGAAATTAAAAAAAAAAAAAAAAAAAAAAAAGAAAGAAGCTGTTTTCAAGAGCATCTTCCATATCAAAGTAAAAATGATCATTTGAGAAAGGCACTTTGCGTAAGACTTTCCAAAGCAACCAAGTATTTTCAGACTGCCTTTTTTCTGTCTTAGAACAAGATTTGCAGTAATTTTTATGTATAAGATCAAAACAGACATGCAAAAACTACAGTGATAGAAAAACTAAGACAAAAGACGATGAAGTACTGAAAAATTTTTTGGTTTACAGCAAACAGGAAGAGAAACAGAATAAAACCATAATCTCTTCATTATGTCAGAACTAGCAGGTCCAGGAACCAACACTTTCTAAGTTAAATTTTGACTGATGTCCAGCTGGACAAGTTGTTTAGGATATGATAGCTCTCAACTAACTTTAGCGTTCTAAGGCTTAGATGTCTAGACAGTTGAAAGGAACTGTCTAGAAAGGAACTTGCTCTGGAAGTTATCTACCTTTGTATGATGGCTACAAAAAGATCTCAGATAGGTATCTTAGACTAGACCACTGACTTTTAGATCCCTCCTTCAGTTTCACTGTTCAAAAGAAACAGGAATAGGTAATAAGTTATAATAAAAGAACCCACCTCAAAGAAATTAAAATACACAAAATGCACAAACAAAAACACCCAGCCCAGCCCAAACCAAAAATGTATCATGCTCATGTATTTAAGCTACTGGGGAGAACCTGAAATTCACTAACAGCATTTAAAATGAGGAATTCTTCAAATACCAATTTCTCTTTCTCCAATTACTTTACTGGATTATAGCAGGATATATTAAAGTCTCCTCAGATTATTTTAGCAAGGACACAGGCTGCCACATTTGGTTACAAAGCTATTTAGCAAGATGAAAAACTCTTAGGGATAATATTACAATTATTTGTAGTCCCCCTCCTTTGCAAAAAACCTAATTTTTTTGTATTTTTATTTTTTAATGAAACCTGTGATATGTTTTTTATCTTAAAATGTCTATCCCTAATACAGTTTTAGCCAGAACCCCAAAACTTCCAAAGGCCTTGTTTCCATAGGAAATCCAGCTAAAAGTCCACCCTAAAACTAAATGGGTTTGGACAACATTTTTCCTCTATTTTTGGTGCACTGGGATATCCAAGAATGTCACAATTTGAAGGAGAACGCACAATAATTATTACAATAATTTAAAAATCATTACCTGTTCTGTAATGCTCCATGGCATTTTTGGTAGGAAACTAAGGACACCCTGGGAAAAAGGCTGATGAGGGACATCATGTTCAAGCAAAAGAACTTCTGTCTCAGTCTCTTTATCTCCAGCACTTCCCAAGTTCTTTACAAAATGACCCTGAGAAACAATATACATACATACAAATATATACACACATGCACATCAAGCAATATTGTTTGCTCAAAAGTAAGTATTTGAAACCATTAGCTCATAAGTTATTAGTATATTAAACTACACAGAAGGAGTAATCTTTCCTTCTTCAGTCAACTTTCTCGTCTTTAAGAGAAATTTAATTTCAAACATTTAATTGATTCAGTGAACTTTGTACTTCCCCCTCTTTTCCTAGAAATGGCACTGAATTCTCCACATTTAAGACTGCAAAAATTGTAAATGTAGCAGCTCAGTTTTGCAGGAAAGAAAAAAACGTTGCTGCATAAGCAGCAAAACTAATAAGGTCTAATTTCTCCATGGGTTTGTGTTGTGCCACACATCCTACTCCCTAATGTCACGTTAACTCTGCTTCCTTTCTCATGTCTCTCATCCTCTGCAGTAATACTGTCTTTGTCTTAACACTCCTTCCACATATTCCAAGTTTCCTTCATTTCTCTAAACATGGGTGAGACAGCCATGCTCTCATTCATTACAAGCTACGCATTCCTACACAACGCAATAGAAGCCTCTTCAAAACCTAGTTAGCGTTCAACACAAATTGGAAGGTAGTGTCCTCAATTTCTCTTATATCCTCCTGTTTATTTACAAAGAACTTGTAAGAACTTAATTACCTGTAACTCTGCCCCACTGGCAATTTGACTGAATTTGGTCAATGTGTTTGAAACTACTTGCCAGGACAGTGATCAGTGTGTGGATGAGCAAAGCCACAGCGAAAGCTTCACATTTCTAGGAACCCAGACTAAAACAAGGAGGTCCCCAGTTAGTCTAAATAAAACACCTTAGTTAAGAGATGTATGTTCACTGCAGAACCTGAGGACCAAGCTTTTTACATACGACAACCCATACCTGTTTTCTGGGTGTAAGAGTAAATTATATCATTTGAGGACTTACTCGGTTTGCACCATCAAAGAATGGCACTCAAAGAACTTAAAATTCATGTCAACTCCTTTTGAAGTTACTCAGCAGCGCAGATAATAATAAACATCTTACCTATTAAACACATAAAAATTGGACAGATAAAAGTGCAGAAGAAAACACTTAAACTTACATTAGGATACCTGGAATTCCTGGGCCAACCGTCAATAGCAACAACTATTCTTTGTCCTTCTAATGTATCTGCTTGTCTTGTTTCTATTCGAATGCGAGGAATTCTGCGATCAGCTGGTGTAAACAAATGGCGCCTTGCCTATTAACAGCCAGAAAAAGGAACAAATAATTTCTAAATAAAGGAAAAAAAAAAAAATCTGCACTTACAATAACCTGATTATTTCCTTACCTCTTTGATCTGTGATTTGGAAAGCATGCCACAAAACGGTCGCCAGTTTCGTTTTATAATGCCCACTACTTTTCCTGTAGGTCTCAGCATGTCCTTGTTAACAGAAGTCTTCAGCTGGTAGAGGTTAAAAAAACAAAACTGTCTGAACTCACGTTAACATGTTTGACCACAGCATGTATCTCAAACCTTGGTGGTAACAACTTATGTGTCACTATAACGCCATAAATTCTATTATGACTTCATCAACAGAACTACGCCTCCCTGTGCTTTGCATGACTTTTAACTATTTTAGTATGTGACATGCTTACTTTGTTGTTTGGGTTTTTTTAAGCGACACTGTCTCAGAAAAACAAAGAACAGCAGAAAAAGACTAAAGAAATGTTACCTTGTACCACTGTCTCTGCTTACTCCACAACTATCTCCGTTTTCTTTTCCAAGCTATTATTACAATTTTTAGGAGCCCTTTTATGTCACTTGAAAATTCTCCAGTAATTCTAAACACAGTAATTAAAAAACATTCCCATGGAATTCAGTGGGAAGATCACATCTCTAAAGAAATGCAAATATTTATTGGACAGTGTATACATGTGTGTGCACACACATTAAGCAGAATTACTGCAAGAAGCTAAAGAATATTTTACAACTGGTTCCAAACATATGCATTGCCTACAAAAGCCAACTGTCATCGTGATACATCTGCTCCTATTCTAGCAAATCTTAATCTGCACATCAGTATATAGCTTTGCATTATTACCTGACTACCACTCAGTAACTTTTAGATTTATTAAGGTTAACAAAATAATGTGGGAATTTCTGATTGGGATTAATTAAAAAGCATCAATTTTATGTATTTTTTGTATTCATGTATTTAATGCAACTGTAGGACTACGATTAAATTTTGTAATTGCCATATTCACAACAGCTTTTAGGAGTCAGTATAAAAAGGATGTATAAATCTAAAGCCTAATAACTTTTTCAGGGTGTTGCAGATTTCATCTCTCTCTTAACATGAGTTAAGTAAAAAATTTATTTAATTCATACAATGTTTTCTTTCTCCTCTTCATTTTCGATGTCATCTTCATTCTGGCCATCATCCTGCAAGACCACTGAGGATGGTCCCACCCATTCATCTCTTGGCAACAACTCCACAGCTACAATATCTTCATGAACTGCTCGATTTAAATGTTTCAGTCCCTGTATGATTATCTGGAATTTTTAGAAAACAAAAAATGAAAATTCAAATATTCATGTTGATAGCCACAGAAGGCCCAAATCAAAGCAGTATAACAAAATAGTATCCATTATAACAGGCTCTGCACTCTAAAGAACATTTTAAGGCATGTTTGTGAGGCATTTTTTTCCTCTGCCTAGGTTTCTTTCAGTACTGATGATATTATTTCAGGATTCCAATTGCCTCCATAAAAATAATTTGTTTTCCCCAGACTTTTTTTTTTTTTTTAATCAGACAATCCTATTTTTGCAGGCTAGGGGACTCCACAGACTACTGGGAGACAGGAATAAAAGAAACGGAGAGCCAGAGAAGCAGCACCAGCTGCCACTACAAACAGGAAGGCAGGAGACAACTGCTGCTGCTTGGAAACAGTGTCTGTGCAACTGTACCGACAGAGAATCCAGTAGGCAGACAGCTGGGTTAACTGCTTGGAGGGGAACAGACCATCTACTCATCACCAGGCATGAAAATAGCGGGGGAAATAAAGCCAGAGAGCCCCACAAGGGCTCACCACAGTTTTTCTGAAAACCTCCTACAAACTTGTTTCTCTTTGATTCATCATTCATTCATTCATCTTTCTATTTCAAACTAATTAAAATAAAAAAGTGTTTATTTGAGTCAATTGAAAAACTATTAACAACTAAGATTCAGCTTTATCAAATACTTTATCAAAGCACAAGGTATACTTTTAAACAAATTATTCTCTTTTCAAAAAGCATAGTGAACATTTCAGTAGTCTATATTCATACAAATAAACAAAAACAAAGCAAAGCAAAAAAAGTCAGAAAAAAACAGAAGAGGAAAAATTACTGTAATGCTCCTTTCTAACAACATAGGTCACCATGAAAGGATTACATTTTAAGTCACTACTGAGGCTAGTTAAAGTTCACAGCATGAAGTCAAAATGGAAAACCCACCTCTTTGTTTTCTTCCGCGTCTCCATGAACCCAAACAGTAGCTTCAAGATAGTTATCTCTGCTTGCCCTGTAAGTTCCTTGGAGGTAAATACCAGATTTTATTCCTTGCTGCAGTTTGCTAAGAGGAATATGTTCTGGGAAAATTATTTTTCCACTTTCTATTTCTTTCTTTAACAAAACAAAACAAAAAGGAAATTTTCAGTCTTTTGTATTCATGATTATTCCAAAAGCTAGCTCAGGAACATGACTCAAGCTAGCAAACTCCAAAATTGTAACTAGCTTGTTACAATTTTGTCAAGGTATGCATATGCACAATAATGAAAAACTACTATTAAGCAATAATTTTTCTAACAATAATAAATAAATAAATAATAATAAAGCATAAAAAACATAAAGAACGTAGAAATGTGACAATTCTAGGAATGCCTCCTCTTCTTTTCCTGCTTGCCTGCAGTTACTTAAGACACTGCACAAGTAACATACGCTTTCACATTGATTTGGATATACTGACTAAACATACACTTAGCGAAGAAAACATTAGCACAGTACTACATAGTAAAGAGTATAGCACAACAGTGTAAGCATATACTCTTAAGCTCTATGGAACATTATGGAAACACATTACTGTGACTAAACTTTGGAGCAGTCAGACAATTAGTGAAAGCTCAATGAACTACAGCTAACCACTGAAAAGATCAGCTGAGCCCTCCACTTTCTTCTCACTCTTGCATGTCCCACTCCATTCTGTTAGAATTAACTGATGAAATTAACCTTCCCATTTTTCGGTGCTGTTAGTTTTCAGTCTTATGTGAAAATGTAAGTCCTGATTCTGATAAACACAAAGCCCAAGGAAATAGAAGAGGATGTAGCTCATCTTCGAGCTGCAACCAGCACTTCTGTCAATTTAACTGACCACAAAAATCAGAGCTTGTGATAGAAAATGCTTTAGGTCAATAAGTTAACATAAACTTTCAAATAATAGACAGAAAACAAAGACCTAAATGGTTTGCAATATACACTTCTGTAGTTTTCATTTTGTTTCCATTATTTCTAATATTTATACACTGTCTTTAACCAATCGTTATTATTGTCATCTTCACATCACTTATCTAAAGCAACTGGCTTTTTACAAATAACTGGATACCTACTAGTAGGCATATAAGCAGCGGTAAAAACAGCCGCAGTATTTTTTTTTCCTCGTCAAAAAGTTATACTGCTGAAATGGTAATAAAGACCAGAGTCCTTGTTTTCTAAACTGATGCTAGTAGCCTGACATATGGTGTCCAATAATATACTGCAAACCACTTGTGATTTATTTTATAAAAAGAAAATAAAAACATACCCCTTCATCAGATACACAAGCAAGACGATCTACAAGATCAGGATTAGCTATCAAGCTTTTTATATACTCCTCACCTACAAAAGCACACACATAAATATTTATGTAAGAGATGCATAGGATTTAGATATGAAGACACTGCTGAGATTGTGTATCTGAGCAGTAAATTAAACATACATGCCACTTCACTTACACGTATAAGCAGTTATCCCTTCCTCTAGAGCTTTCTCTTTATTAGCTTTGTCATTTGTTAAAAAGATAACTTGGATCTTCTCCTCATCTTCTATTTTCTTCAGATGTTCATTGTACCATTTTACTGCCACCCGAATGGCTCTGTCATTGCGGTCGTTAGAAGTTTCTCCTTGCTCTTGCTGTATGTATGTTTCTCTAAATAAATAAAAGGGGGGAAACAAAACAAAACAAATCCCAACATCTATCCATACTTACAAAAATTTTTCAAACAAGATCAAGATTGTGAGGTCAAAAGAATAATTGCTGTACCAATTTTCATAATATGTGTAACACTCTATAGGCCACTGAAGAAGGGCCAGGAGACAGGAGAGTCAAGAAAAATAGCAAGGGAGTGTTAATTTCTAATACAACCTTCTCACTGACAATTGAAGTGGACTGTATTCAAGATTCCTAGAACTATGATACTGCAGTAGTGGAAACTACTTGTGAGCACAAATAAAGGCAAATTAATTGCAACTTCATTTCCTAGAGCTTTCTGTGACGAACCAACAGATTTTTTTAATGTTTAAAAGGGACGCTAAAATGGAAAAACATTCCATTGTTCAGGTTAGTCTTCTCTATAAACTTTATTCAATATTCTAATCACCTTTTCAGAATATATCTGCTTATACTAATTATAAAACAGAAAAGCTCCTGAAACATGCAACTATTTCCCAATAGAATTCCCTGGAAGAATACAGTTCTATGCACCTCAGTCTAATTTTTTTTTTTTTACCTAGTTCACATGTTCCAGTTCTGTTTCCCAGTTTCTTTTACTGGACATCAGTACAACTTTATCATACCCTATTCCACACCTTACCGATGATGTTCATTGGTGAAAGAATAGAAATGTTTTTCAGGGTTTCCAATCACGTCCCTAATTCGTTTGTACACTGGTGCACTCCGATTCCTGACTTCTTGTAAGACTGTCTGTAGCACAATGACATTCTTAATAACAGGATCTTCAAGTATATCAATCTGAGGAACAAAATGGAAATAAATCAAAATTGCTGTTTAATTCTATCCAATAACAGGACTTGAAATATTTATTTGGTTAATACGTAAAAAGCTAACATGAATAATGAGTTGCGCTACTTCTGCCTTTTTCTCTCACCATTGGGAAACTGGGCAGTATATTAAGCTGCTTCCTCCTGCTTGTGGGCAAAAAGTTCAAATAGGATTTTCCAGCCTCTTCATGACCTGAATTTTGCTAGAGTGAAGGTAAAGATTTATTCTGACTTCCACCAACTTCAGCCCCAACGTATGCAGGACTCCAATCAAATTTAAAGCCAGGTGTACACTAGAAATTTTGTTTACCTAAGACTGGTTCCTGTAAATTATAACCTTCGTAAACAAAATACATCTATGCACAATCTGTGAGTAATCCAATATAATTTAAAGGCTGTCTGGCATATGTCTTTGTGAGCAATGCAAACCATAAAATAGTACCTGACCACTGTTACACAGCTAACACGGACATGCCAGTGCACGTGTGGGCTTAAGTTCTCCAAAAACAATCCCACTGTTGCACTGCAATTTTAATTTCCATAGATTCAAATCAACTGGAATTCTGTTAGGCACTCTTCACCTTTTCAAGACTTTTTTTTTTTCTTTGAGGAAATCTGTTTTCTTTGACAACTCCTGACAGCTATGGTGTACAAGAGAGACAAATATACACCAAAAATTCATGCTCCTGTCAGGAGAAAAAGGTAAGCTTAGTTTCTTAAGCTTGTGGCAAGGAACTGTGCAAACCCATCTCCAAAAAGAGACAGCAATAAGGCTCTAGAGGGCATGGCTGAAAGAATTAAAAGCAATGCCAGACCAAGCTTCTCTGCACCTGATGTTTGAATGACCTAAAAGATTTCGAGCCATGTTCATAGGGCAAGAAATCCAACATTATTCCATGCACAAGCTGAATTACCAGGCCAAGTCTTACTGCTGCAATCCTGTTCCAGTTGCTAGGTAAAACCTTTTCCTACTGTTACCAAGACTTCCTAATCCCCGCTGCTCCAGTTCATGGCAGCGTACCCTGTCTCAAGAGTGCTCTATAGTATGTATATACAAACTTTGCCAACAGACTCAGTCTAATCCATGGGTAACAGGCTGAAAACAGGCTGAAAACATCCCTTGACTTGCTGCTGTGGGAACAAAATCCTTACTTACAACTTTTGGGATGGCTAAGTGCTAAAACACGTGAGTGTTGTGCCCCTCTCCCGAGTAATCCACGTTAGGACTCATGAATTACTTCTAGTCTCCAGTGGCTGCATAGGGCTATTGTATTCAAAAGCAATAAAAAAAAAAAAAAAAAAAAAAAAGGGGGTTTTTTATCAAAAAAAAAAAAAAAAAAAAAAAAAAAAGTCAAACATTGAGCTTGGGAATTCACTGCCTCCCAGCCTCGAGTTCTACTGCCTGCACTGCCTAGACTCAAGCCTTTACACAATTAGTGATGGGCTGCAGAGTAAAGTTCATCCCATGCTTCCAGAGTTGTACACAGGATGATTTTGCAGCCTCTATTCATTACCTGAAATCAACATCACAGTGTAAAGAACCTAAGCCTACAACAGTCTCTGAAAAATAAAACAGATATTTAGGAAAATTCAGGTTGACAGAAAAATTCAGTGACCACCTGAAGATCCCGATCGCTGCTTCAGAGTGTATTCACTCTCCTTGCCTGACTTTACATACCCACGACAGACCACAACAAACAAAAAAACCCCTGCTGTTCCTTATTCCTACCGTTCAGGCAGTGAAACATAAAACCAGAAAGTAGTCTAGAACCAGACTAGACTCGGTCATACTGAAG